GGCACAGGGTGCCCAGAGAAGCTGTGGCTGCCCCATCCCTGGCAGTGTTCAAGGCCAGGTTGGACACAGGGGCTTGGAGCAACCTGCTCCAGTGGAAGGTGTCCCTGCCCGGGGCAGGGGTTGGAGCTGGAGGAGCTTTAAGCTCCCTTCAACCCAAACCAGTCTGAGATTCTATGATTCTATTTCAAATTCACATCCTATTTCACAGTCTAAGCTTACTTCAAACTGGAGACGTCTCTGTGAAGTGCATCATCTTGGTGTGACTTTTACCTGAGGATTTAGGCCAGGGTAGAAAGACAAACACACTTTAACCATTCGTCACTGCAGGAAATGTGTAATGAAACCTTTAACTCCCATCCTGCAAAAAGAACTAAAGCATTTTGGCTAAGCAAGGGGATGGGTCTGTCCCTTTACAGAGAGGAGAGGACACATGGACAGGAGATGTTTCAGAGCATGGACAGTGTGAATCCTCACCTCAAATTCTTCCCCATTGCCCCTCTGTTCCCAAATTGATCCTTAATTAGGTGCCTAAAATTGGTGGGATTAATTTGGGCATAAAGCTATTAGGGGCTGAGGACATTAACCGTGGGAAGCTGTGGGATGGAGAGGGTGAGGTATGTCTCACTGACTGGATGATAGTGGGGTGTCTCAGGGCAGGTGGGTGCAGTGGCCCCTCATGGACTGTTCTGCTTTCTCTGAAACAGATCCCAACTTTTTAAGTCCTCCTGTGGCTGAAAGAGGCCAAGAATATTAATGAGTTACTTAAGAGCTGCTTTAGTAGGTCAGTGCCATCACGTTGCAAGGGAATTTTACCTGTGCTTTTGCAGGAAAAAGGAAGGAAAAGTCAGACATGTCGGTTAGCCTGTAGGAAATACAGGTAGGATTCTGTGGGTGATCAGAACAGATCAAGGTTTTACATAGAACCACTTTGCTTTTGAGGGGAACCAGTTTGGAAGGCTGTTATTTAGAGGAACTGGGAGCCTGATGTGCTACACAAACACTTTCTCACCATTGAAAACCAAATGGTACCTCCTGATTCCCTTCCGTGTCTCCCTCCTTCCTGCATGGTTAGAGGGGATGAATGTCATCTGCTGTGCAAGGACAGGATAAACAAGTTCTAAGTAACACCTGGGTACTTTTTCATGTTGGGAAAGAGATGGGTTCCTCTGAAAGTCACTTTCACAGCAGGGTTTTCCACCAACTTAATTTAGAATGAAGGGATTTGAAAAGGTTCTTTTTGGACCCTCATCAGTGAAGTGAGAGAGTATTTCTTCAAGCACGTTTGACCTCTAGAAACAGTTGTTTGAATGTTTCTGCAGCACTTTGGGTGTATCACCACACTGATTTCCTTCTCTTTCTTTTTCCCTTCTCCACGTAAAGGAAGATCATCAGTTGTATCCTTTTTGTACCTGCCACCCCTCACATGTGGGAATCTTCAGGAAACCAGGCTGAAAAGTGCTCCCATCTTCCCACCCAGTAAACCTGCTGCTTTTGTGTTACTCTTTGGGTTTTCCATCCACATGAAGCAAAACTGGGAAAACATTTCTCCCAAGACTGTTTTTTGCAGCATTAACTGAGGTTGAGCTGAGACTCTGCCCCTTTATCCCACCCCACAGCCTTGACAGAGGGTTCGCAGCCCTGTTTTATGATCCCATAAGTCATTTCCCTAGGAAGCAAGGCTGAAAATGGGATTTGTGGACTGCTGGACACAAACCCCATGCAGCAAACCCCACAGGCAGCTGGCACAGACAACAAGAGGTAGGAAAAGCAGCTTTCAGTAGCACTTCCTCTTCTCTCATGCTAATTCTCCCTTTACTGCTGCCAAGATCTAAGTATCTCCTAAGAGGAGACACCCTCAGCTTCAGAGATTTCCATGCTTAGAACCCATCTAGTAATTTTTTTTGCTCCACCTTCCTTCAACTGGAAAAACACAAAAACCTGGTTCTGGTTTAATGACATGAGCTGCTCTGGGAACTGGGATACAGCCACTGCAGGTGGGTGGCTGCTCCGTGCAGGAATGGGCTGGGCAGAGCCTCTAAAAGGTGCCTGGGACGAAGTCCCTGCTTGGAGGTACTCCAAGGATTTGAGAAGGGCTGGGGGAGAGAGAGGAGGATGTATTGAGGATAGAAAGATGTGGAAATAATGAAATCTGCACTGATCGCTTCCTGTATAAATGAAATTGTATTATTTAAGGCTAAGAAAGGCATTTGGGGATCAAAAATACAGAGGAGTGGATTCTTGGAGCCACATTCCAACTTCTCCATACAGAGGTGAACCCAGGATGTCCTGCATTGTCTCCTACATGCCATAAGTCACATGCTGCTGTGCCTTAAGAGCAAGTGATTCCTTCAGTACATATGGACCTGCCGGACGGGGTCGTGCCTGTCAGTGGGCTCCCGAAAACATCCAGGGTTGTGGTGTCTCCAATAAACCAGGGTTAACACTGGACGTGGCTCATCCCAGCCTGGGCAGGAGCTTGTGGCTAGGAAAGGGCTCATCTCTGCTGGATCCAGAGGGATCTCAGGCAGCTAAATCAGGCTGGATGGGTACCTTTAGGGGGCTCTCACCTTGGGATGACAGAACCTCTCCTGAGCCTGCCACTAATGTCTGCCTGTTTGTAAGACAGCCCCTGTCCTTCAGGGACATTCTGGGGATGTGTTAAGGCTTGTGGAGCTCTCAAATGCTTTGGCAGTGGATCCACAGAGACAAATAACTAAAGCTAAATAGGATCTTCCACTATCCAACAGATAGCTTTGTCAGCAGTGAATTAAGGAAGTCTGTTCCTGATGGATTTGCATCTCAAAGTTGAGCTTGTGGCCTTTCTCAGAGGTGTAACATGGAGCACAGCTTTCAGACTTCCCATCCTGTGGGCAGTGGTGGGGCCTGGCTGCTTCACAGAGCCACCTATTTGCAAAACCCCTGGAATTTGGTGTGTTGGAAGTCTGCCAAGCCCCTGTCAACTGCTTCAAGCCGACTGAGAGGGAGCGAAGTTGTTGTGGAAACGCGCACATGCACCTCCCTCATTCCCTGAGGCTAAAAAACACCCCACCACATACCAAATCACATTCTTTAACAGGAACTGAAGCCAAACCTGAAACAGCAAGTTCTTATCCTAACTCCTGTTGTTTGCAACCTCAGGTACTCTGAATCCTACCCAGTAAATCCCTTTAGCTGAACTGGCAAGTTTAAAAAACCACAGTATTTTGTAGTTAGTGGGAAATGGTGATTTTGTGAACGAGATCCCACCTCATCCATGTGAGAAATCCTTAACAGCAGCTCTCAGATGTCATCTGTTCCTCTACAGCTTCTGTTTTATGTAAATGGCGTTTATTTCATCTTTTACTTCTTGGCAACTCTCGCAATGGTGCTTTATAAAAGTAAGTTGCTCATATTGTAACACAGGAGGAGGCTGGGTGCTTGTTGCAGGGCTCTGTCTGCCCCTGCTGGGTTTTCCTGCCTCATTTATGCTGCCTTCTTCTCCAGGTCAAGTTTTCAGCTATCCAGATGATTTTTTGACTCTTGATCTTACCCTGCTTTTCGTTATGGCTATTGTGGAAGTGCTCCGGTTGTACCTGGGTAGGTCACGTTATCACTGTGCCTCTTCATGCAATATAATCCTTAAGCATTGATCATTCTGAAATTAAATGGCAGTCAAAACGTGCCAGTTTGGCAGAATAGCAGATATTTGGAGACTGTTGTTTATGTCATTCAGCTTTATCTGACTAGTCAATAGATTTCACCTCCCTTATGAAGACAGGCTGAGAGCTGGGCTTGTTCAGCCTGGAGAAGAGGAGGCTCTGGGGAGGCCTAAGAGCAGCTTCATGTATACCAGTACTCAAGGCTAGAAAGGGCCTCCTGACCCCTGCCCAGATCTTGCTGAAACTTCATAAAGTCCTTCTGTAATAAGGAAATAAGTTACTATTCAAATCTGTGCTTGATACTGCTGCGACCAGGTGGGTCTGTGCTGGCTTCAGCTGACGTGCCATGGGGTGATCTCAGCCTGCTGCCTTCAAGCTCTGCACATGTTTGCTTGGAGCATTTTGGGGCATGAATAAAGAAGTGAATTTCAAGTCTAATGTAGTTAAACAGCAAAATCTACTGAGACTGCTTGGAAATAAGATGGCAAGGAAGAGAGAAGAGCAGCTTCTCCACTACAGAGTAACTTGAAATAGGAATAGATTAGCAGGGAATAGAGAAAATTGTATATTGTGTAAGATTTTAAAGTCAGGATTGGGTGATCTCAGGTGTCACATTGAGTGCGGGCTGGTTTGATGGTTGACCAAGAAGCTGAGTGATCAAAATGCTTTGCAGCTTCAGAACTGATGATCTGTGCTAGGAAAAGGTGGGAGCCAGGACTTGAGTATCAATGGATTGCTCTTCATTTAGATTAACCTGGGTCAGCAAGAAGTGGATTGTCCTGTGGTGCCTGGGTTTGTTCTGATGGTCACTGACAGAGCCTGGCTCAGGCCAGTATTTCAGTGTGTGCTGAGCTGTAAGAGCAAGAACTGGTTTTGAACAGGAACATTTTAGACTCAGAGCTGTGATTCTGTCAGAAGACATCAAAGACTCACATCAGCTTTTTCTTTCCTTCAAGGTGCAAGGGGGAACCTGACAGAAGAGGAGGGTCCGTTGGGGCTCAGCCTTGTGATGACAGTGGGAAGTGTGTTTCTGGCTGTGTATTTCCTGGTGTGGCAAACCTATGTGCTGAAAGCAGATGTCATCCTCAACGCTGTTCTGCTCCTCTCCTATGGGATGGAGTCAATTCTCAAGGTCTCCGCCATCGCTGCTTTTATCAGATAAACCTACAGTTCTTCAACGTGTTATCAACACATTTCTAATATAAAAGATTGGGGTTATAGTTCAGCTATTTAATACTTATATATAGAAAAGTCCTGTAAAACTTTCCTGTGTTTGAAGTACAGGTTTTTGAGGGGCAGACCTGAGTGACAGGTAAAACATCCTGTGCAGCAGCTTTTATGCTCTCTGATCTGTCAGCTATGGGCAAAGGCAAGGGGTGATTCAGCAAAACCTCTTAATGCCCTGGTATTCCTGAGGGATCCCCACTCACTATTCATTCCCAACACATAACAGCAGCCAAGGCATCATCTGAGCACTGTTGAGATGCTCAGATCACAGCACCAGAGTGACACAGAAAGGAATCAGGGCGACACAGCACAGGCTCGCTCTGCCGTACCACACACACCGCGTTCGTGTTTGAGGGCACGGTTTCTCTGCTGCTCTCATTTGTGTTTTCAGACCCCAGTGGTAATTTCCCTGACTTTACTAGGGCAGAACCTGGTTTATCCCTGTGGGAAGGAGTTGAATTGAGTTTTGTGTGCAGCCAGAGAGCTCAGCTGCAGGGTTTGGGCAGCTGGAGAGACCAAAGGCCTCTGTAGCATGAGGGTGTGTTAGTTTAACTAGGCTGGCTTTAAGGTGAGCCTAAACATTCACCACTCACTCACTCTTCTGTCCTACTTAAAAGTTCCAACAGGATTATTTCTATTTGATGTTAAATGTGTTTATCCTATCAAATGACTACATGTAAGTCTTGTCTTTTAAATGCAGAGCTGCGTTGAAGTTCAGAGTTTTTACTGTATCAACCCATGTGTTAATGGGAAGTTGGGGGGGTTGGGGGGGAGTTGTACAAGCAGGTTTTATATTTGGAAGTTCTTGTATTTATTTGTTCAAATAAAGTTTTGGATCTAAGAAGCGTTTGAAGTGCAGAGCATCTTGCTGACATCCGAGGCTACAGCTACACTACACAAAGGAGGCTCAGGTGAGCCTAGAGGTGTGCACAGAACCCCTCAGATCCTGCCACTGCTCCATGTAGGCCATTCTCCTGCTCTGGGGAAACGTGCCTGAGGTCTGCCCTTGTTTGCAGTACCCAGGGGCTGAAAATCCAGCAGTGCAGGCCCTGTACAGCCCCAGCCACGCTGCAGGCTTCTGGTGGTGGTGGTAGAAGGGAGTAAAAGATGCAGAAGCTCCTCTGGAAGGACCCAGTCTCATCACTCATACCCAGGGGGACCCTTCCAAGGCCATGTAACCCCAGATCCATCCACATTACACCAGCTCTAACCACATTACCACAGAATCCCAGATTGGTTTGTGTTGGAAGGGACCTTAAAGCTCCTCCAGCTCCAACCCCTGCCCCGGGCAGGGACACCTTCCACTAGAGCAGGTTGCTCCAAGCCCCTGTGTCCAACCTGGCCTTGAACACTGCCAGGGATGGGGCAGCCACAGCTTCTCTGGGCACCCTGTGCCAGCGCCTCAGCACCCTCCCAGGGAACAGCTTCTGCCTCAGAGCTCATCTCAATCTCCCCTCTGGCAGGTTCAAGCCATTCCCCTTGTCCTGTCCCTCCATCCCTTGTCCCAAGCCCCTCTCCAGGTTTCCTGGAGCCCCTTTAGGCCCTGGAGCTGCTCTAAGGTCTCCCCTTAAGGAGACTTCTCCAGCTGCCCCAGCCCAGCTCTCTCAGCCTGTCCTCATAGGAGACATTACACCAGCTCTGTCCATTTTACACCACCCAGCCCTCAAAATTGAAATACACACATGGACACGAATCCCACATGGCTGGATCCTGCTCAGCCAATGGCTCAACCAACCCACAGGAGCACGACTGCACCCGTGAAGATAACAGTAAAGCAGCAGAACTGGGTGCTAAAGAGCAGTGAGGAAGTTGACTGATCAAATGCTTCTGCATGACTCAAACACACGCCCGTTTGTCCTTCCAGGCTTGCTTGGCACCATGGAATGTAGCCATCACACTTGTTCCGAGGTGTGCCAGACACACCGAGCTCTGGGTACCCCGCTAGTGACAAACCCAAACCAAGCCGACCCCTCTCTGTGTGCAAAGAGAAGCACAAAGTTCTCCTGGTATTTACACCTGTCCTACACAAAGCTCTGGCAATAGAACATCCAACAGGCTTAAAGGAAATACTGCAAAGAGAAAGTTATGTTTACCTGGATGCAGGTGGTGCAGCAGATGGGGTCACACATGTTAACCTCAAGTTTCAGCCTCTGTGCTTTATCTTCCTTCCTCCTCACGGTGCTTACTACAACAAAATCAATACAAAGCATCAGCACAACTGGAGGTAGCAGAGGCCAAGGGTGTAGACTCGGGAGGTACTAGTAAAGCCAGTGGGAGGTGTTCCTACTGTAAGTGTTTGACCCCACCACAGATCACCACCCTCTCAGTTATGGCCCTACATCCATTCGGGGTGCTGTGCCATAAAACTAGATCCCCCTCTGCTCTACTCTGGGGAGCCCCCCCTGCAGCCCTGACCCAGCTCTGGGCAACAGCACCAGAGGGACGTGGAGCTGCTGGAGCAAGGCCAGAGGAGGCCCCGGAGCTGCTGCGAGGGCTGGAGCAGCTCTGCTCTGGAGCTGGGCTGGGGGATTCTGGTGGAGGGTGTCCCTGCCTGTGGCAGGGGCTGGAACTGGAGGAGCTTCAAGGTCCCTTCCAACACAAACCAGTCTGGGATTCTGTGGTTCTCTGTAGAGATACAGAGCTATAGATGATATAAAGCACAGTGAACCCTTTGCTCGCTAACCATCACCTAGATGAAATCCAAGCATCAGCACAGAGTGACAACATGCTCACAGTCAGCAGTGGAGTAAACAGACACATATGACAATAAACACCCATTGTTGAGCTCATTCGGAGCAGGGCCTGGTGGCTTTCACACTGCCCACAGAGTCCTGGATGCTGCCAGTGCCTGCTGGGGGTCCCTGGCACCAACCTGGATTTGCACCCTCAACAGGGCAGTTTTTATATGGAATTTTATCCTAAATTGTCCATAAACTTTGTTCTGATTAGATGAGCAGATACTGGGGCACTTCTGCTGCTGACAGCCCTTCACTCCATGATGAATGTGGGCTGAAGAAGCTCCAGACAGCTCCTTCATCTCGAGTATTTCCAGGCTTGGACTGGGAATTGCCACTCGTGCTGGTGACCCTGACTTCACAACAGCTTCTCTCCATGCTGAGCTGGTAGAAAACCCCAAGTGAATCAGGCCCTGGCCTCAGAGGGTTTCTCTAACCTTTCCAAACCATTCCCACTGTTCAGATAAGGCACAGCACAGCAAAGCCATTGATGATATTTGCCAGACAGAAGCTTGCAGGAGGCTTTAATGAGGAGGCCCAACCCTCCTGGAACAGGACAAGCCAGTTGGATGAAAAGTGCATTAAAAATTGAGAGGAACACCTATTTTGAGGAGCTGGGTTTGGGTGGTGTTTGCTCTGCCAGGAAGAAGTCTTTGTTCTTCAGCCATCACAGGGGTGTCTGCCGCCAAGCTCATTTAAAAGGCTGATCCCGAGATGCAAGTTTAGCCTCCTGGGATTTCCAACCTGGAGATACTCTGAGAGATAGGGATTTATTGGTCCACAGCCTTTCCGTGTTCCTCAGCAGGCAGAAATGATGTACAGCCCAAAGCCCAGCGAAGGAGCAGGGCTGAGGACACGGTGCTGAGCGAAGCCAGCGGAGCAGGAATACTGGAACCACCCCGGCACGTCAGGGTAATTCCCCTCCTAGACCAGCATCAGCTGTTACAGGGAGGATGTAATAAGCTCCACTGCGGTTTTCTTCCCTGCCCAGAGGAAAAGCTGCCTCCTCCTCTCACAGTTAGAGGTTTCCTGCGGGTGCAGCACCTCACAGTAGCCCACTTCATCATGAACATGGAGCTGAGGCTGGCCAAGAGCAAGCACAGTGCCAGGAACATCAAATGGCTTCTCCAACAGAATCCTGCCACCTCCCTGTTTGCATCCCAGGAAAGTCAGCCCGGCCCAGTGGTCCCACTGTGTTATCCCAGTGGTAGATGACATATTCCAGGGGGTAGGGATCTGCTGCACAAAGCCTTTCCACTTGCAGGGTTTGCCAGGCTCTGGTTGAGCTGATGTTCCCATTGCATTTCCCTTCTGTTGAACCACTTCTCCAACAGAATCCTGCCACCTCCCTGTTTGCATCCCAGGAAAGTCAGCCCGGCCCAGTGGTCCCACTGTGTTATCCCAGTGGTAGATGACATATTCCAGGGGGTAGGGATCTGCTGCACAAAGCCTTTCCACTTGCAGGGTTTGCCAGGCTCTGGTTGAGCTGATGTTCCCATTGCATTTCCCTTCTGTTGAACCAACATCCTTTCTCCTGCCTGGAATTGTGGTTGGCAGCCTCTAAGAACTGCTTCTCCTGTTTCACAGTGCATCCTGTGCTGAGATCCCCCAGGATCTCACTGACCTCGCAGTGAGGAGGGTGATGGGTGTTGGGTGGGTGCATCACACCGAGTATCGGTTCACATTCCGCACGGCAGAAGAAGTTGATCTCCTGTCAGAGCTGAGCTGTCAGGCAGGGAACTGGCTCTCCCGCTGCCCAGCCGGCTCACCCAGCAGCATTCCTCCTGCAGTAACTCACCCGGGGTGTTCCCCCACTCCTCTGGACCCGGGCCAGGCACTGAGCTGACCCCGAGCCCCCATAGTAAGACAGGCACTGAAGGAAACCATGGTGCAGGGGACTCCACCAGCACCGAGCTCAGGAAGCCTCCAGACCTGTGTCCTGGGGTGGAAGTGTTCTATTTCCCTCTCTAGTGCCAGAGTTGCAGCTCCCCAAGGCCAGTGACAAGGGGTCTCTCTACATGCTGTGTTCAGCATCCCTGTGGGGACGGGGGGAGGCCTGTGATGCACCTGCACTTTAACTGAATGGTCTCAAAAGCCCCATCCCTGGCAGTGTTCAAGGCCAGGTTGGACACAGGGGCTTGGAGCAACCTGCTCTAGTGGAGGGTGTCCCTGCCCGTGGCAGGGGTTGGAGCTGGAGGAT